GAAGGAATTTTGAATCGCATTGTTATCTGCGACGTACAATGGGTTCTGCTTGACAATCTCAAGCGCTCAGCAAGTTGGTTGGATCCTGGTCCAGCACCTAAACAACGCCTTAAACTAAAACTTAACCCTAAGAACCTGATGGTCACTGTTTGCTAGTTTAGCGCCGGTGTTATTTATCACAGCTTCTTACCAAAAAGCATGAGCATTACTGCAGATGTGCACAGTGAAGAAATGAACACAATGATAGAGAAGCTCGCACGTCTCCAACCAGCTTTGGTCAATCGCTCGTCCCCGCTGCTCCCGCAAGACAACACGCGACCTCATACTGCACAACAGACGGTGTCCAAATTACAAAAGCTGGGGTTGGAAGCTCTTCGTCATCCGCCGTACTCAGACCTTGCGCCTAAAGACTTCTTCTACCTTTCCAGAATTCGGATAACGTTTTGGCGGGAAAAAATTCAATACCCTAGAGAGACAGTACAAAACAATATATTTGAAGAATTTGTTGCCTCCCGTCCAGCTGATTTCTTCAAGGACACCAATAAACTGCCACTGCGTTGGTAAAGATGCATTGATTGCATGGGTGATTACTGATTACTTTGATAGAAATAAAAATATAGAAAAAAATACGTCAACTTATTTCATAAAACGACAATTTCATAGGTAAAGACCTAATATAATGTACACTCGACTTAGTAGTTATTGCGTATATCATTTCTTTACAAAAGTTTAAAAATAAATTAATAGGGATGGGCCGAATATTGATTTCACCGAATACGAATATTCGGCCGAATATTCGGTAAAATTTTTACCGAACCGAATATTCGGCCGAACATTATTCGGCAGGATAACCTCGGGACCTAACCAATTTATGTCGAAACTTGTTACCGTAAAGTGTGCGGGATTAGCGCCGGACCCTGCCCCTCGCTCCCCGCCACACCTGACAGTTATTGCATCATCTAGTACTGAGCAAATTGCCGGCACATGCTTATGTTTTGACTATTCTTGTGATAAAAAAGTATTGTTGATTTTAAATTTACCGAACACCACAAAACGAAAAAAAGTATTTCGTTGTTTTATTCTTAGTGAAAATTGATAATTATATGATAAAAATGTGCAGCAGGAGATTTACTATTTGGACTTAATTTATACTTATTTTAGAGAAACTGACCACCAAAGTAAAGTAAAATGTACAAATGTAATGTAATGTTTCTTTGTTTGATTCCAAAAACATTTTATCTAGTTTCTATTTGCCATAATCGGAAATAAATTTACAGTGCCTTAAAAACATAAATATATAGATTTATGCATTTGAGGCACTCTAGAGTAAGTAGATTTAACCCATAAATATAATACACTTTCACAGTAAAAGACATCGCAATACTCAATTCGTACATTTTAATACATTGGACACTATGAAAACGAATGTGATTTAGCCGAATATTCGGCCGAATACGAATATTCGGTAAAGCTGCTGGATATGCCGAATACCGAACATAAAACGAATATTCGGCCCATCTCTATAAATTAATGTATTTATTTTGATAAAATAATGTTTCTTTAAGCATAGATGTCGAGATTACTGTAAAATTTCAGAGTCAAAAGCTCATCGCGCCACCTACCGAAAACATCGTCCGTTAAGCCAGTTAGTAGGATCATTTCAAAAATACTTTCTTTATCTCCGTACACTGTTTTAATCAACGTAAAGTAACGCCTGATTCCTTCAACCTGTACATCTGAAATAACCACACAGAACATCACAAATGCTTTCTACTCTCTACTTCAAAGCTTTCGAGCGGGGAGCGGGGGTGAGTGAAAAACAAAAACAAAACTACAGCCCACGGGAACGTTGCAAGCGACTTGCATCGCCCCCGTGGACCAAGCATGCAACTTTTTAATTTCACTGAATGTATTTCTCAATAAAATCATATTTTTGTTTCTTTTCACTTGTTAGGTATTGTCCATATCATGTCTAACTATAAAGTAGTATTTACACGGCGAAACTTGCACTGACGCCAGCTAAATGCTTCATACGAAAAAAATAATCCGTGAAATAATCGAAACACCTATTAAAAGCTAAAATTATTAATAACTATCTAAATTAAACGTACAAAGAGGTTTTTTTTGTTGCTTATAAAAAATTTATTCGTAGTTCGTTAATCGGGCGCTCGGGTCGCCCCGGGCGGGAATACTGCAGGGGAATTTAAGTCTTATCACAAATGCAGTAAGAGACGTTGTTGCGAAGCGGACTTGCACGCGGGAGCCTCAATTATAAGCCTACTTAATTTATACAATAGACGCCGAGCGCCCGACTTTACATTCAAGTACAACTACGCTTCCGAATGAGACGGACATATTTAGAAATGTGTCAAACGTGTGCAAACGAGTCTTTGTCAATATAATGACAGCTGTCAAAAATAATTGATATGACATTTATATTATGTTAGATGAATTATTATTTCTAGATTATAGTTTTTTATGGATGAGTACTTATATGGTATTTTGTTTACGAATTTTGTAAAAAATAACATTGTTTCTACATTTTATAGGTTTGTGTCCCTCGTATAGATGGTTCATCCATATTTTTTATGAATTTCATGGAGATCGGAAATCTGTTTTTTTTTTCATTAAATTTTGTATTCAGGTACGCAATTTTTTGAATGTTACGGACAAGTTATTAATTTAATAACTTAATAGGGTAAATTAAAAGCTTAATAGGGTAGGGTACGATTGTACCCTTGGAAATCTACCACGATGCGTTAGATCGCCTCGCGAAAGGTTAATTAAAGTACAGGATTTGTCAAAATAATGACAACTGTTAAAATAAGTTCGAGAAACTAAAATTAGCTAATATTTAAACTCTGATGAGAACAAGATCACACGCAAAATAGCTTTAACTTTGTAGATTTACAAAATTTTATTAAATTTAACTTTATAGATTTAGAAAAACTACAAAAGAGTTACGAAAACTTAACTATGTTCAAAATAGTATCAAATAGGCAGGGGGTTGTTGGGTAGTTAAAGAAACTAATTAACAGTCACGCTCATAAAAATTGACGTCAATTTAATCCTTAAAAATTCTCTGTCTCTCTTTTCACTAAATGACACTAGAAAGAGACAGGTATAGATATAAGTAATACTTAATTTAAGTAAGTAATTATAAACGATTAGTAACGCCGCCCCGTAATGTTTTTATGTACATTTTAATCTTATTACAAAACAAACACTTTAAACTTATTTAATAATATCTATTGCAACTGTGTTGACAGCCGTCATTATCTAGGTCTCTAAGTGACTCGTGTCTAAAATACACCTGTAAAATATATTAGGTAAATATAAAATGAACATATATTAAGAATTTGACGTGAAGAATATAAAAGTGACAAAATATAATGCTACCTATAACTAGTAGGCAGATATTCAGTTTCAAAATACACCGTTTCGACTCGGGAGCGTGCTTCGAAGCTGTCCCGTCTTTATATTCCTACGTGTAGGAAAACGACGCGACAGCCCGGTAAATATAATATAAACACCTAGGTATACATTTAAATATCGCTCGACTATCTACACGCCTGCGCCTGGCAGTCATTCCTTTACATTTGTTTAAAATAATTTCGCTGATCACAACTGTACCCTCTATCATTCGTACTGCATAAGTGTCAAGAAAACACTAAATTAAAAAAAAAAGTTAAACGGACGTATTTTTTCTTCAACTCTATGTAGAAAAACCGAACTTAATACTAGATAAGTCGTTTTGACAGTTCGCTGTCATCTGATCTGTATCGAATAACATATGACGTACAAATTATACACTCTAGGAACTGTGTTAATTCTATTGCACTTGGATTGGTACGACTCCACATAACATTCCACAAGTCGAGAGACTGAGAGAGACATCGGATCACAATTTTACATGTTTTTTTTTTTAAATCAAGACAAAATATTAAAGAAAGTTCTGTTATTACAATTGTCTTTCAATAACTCGCAATTAGATAATATTCTTTATTTTTGCTTCAAGTAATAAATACATTTTGTATAAAAAGAGAAGGAATCGGGACATTTCACATAAATAAATAGTACAGAATTTGTTCTTACGGAGAGTCCTTGATTCATTCTCTTTTGACAATTGATTATTAGAAAAATTTACAAATAGCTAAATGTATATACATAGGTTTACGTAATTAAGAACCAGCATTAAATAAAGTTGTCATTTAAAATAATGTTTAAGTTTTAAGTGACATTATTATTACGTTGTATGTATTAATTTGGTTTTGTTTGTAGTTGGTTTATGGGTGAATCTGTGTTGTTATGAATTGTGATAACAAATTGCTCTTATATTTTATAGGTTTGTTTTGCAAGAAGGTGAAATTAGAATTGATGGAAACAGATGGACCATCCATATTTTTTATAAATGGCAAGGATATCTGAAAGGCTTTTTTTTTAAATTTCGTATTTAGGTACTAATTTTTTTAGTTTGTGTCAAGGTATTCATTAATGTACAGTCCAGTAGTTACTTAAGCATACACTATATGAAAATTGAAAAGTTGAATGATTAATAAGACGGCTGATACGTAAGAGTATCCGGATTATAGATAACCAACGAACAAATTGTTTTAAGTTAAATTAGGTACTGTTTTAGTTGATGTTTAGCGTGTACAATGTTACATGTGTGTAAGAGGGATGCAAGTGAAAAATGATATGTATGCGTGTATGTGTGTGTGTATGTGCGGAAGTAGGAAATTGAAGAGCTTATAATGGACATACATCGATCAAAGTATCTTATTCGGAGACATTCGTAGACTAGAGTTAGGTCAGTTTTGGAGCGTTTACATGTGTAAGTAAGGGGAAGTGTAATAGGCCCACCCTGCATTAGTGTATCATTTGAAGTTTGCAAGCAAGTTTTAAATGAGGACACTTTAGCCTGAAGAGTGTGCGGCGTGTACTGTAGCGGAGCATCAATCTGGTCAAGCCACGAGGGTAGTGTCAGTGTGTGTGTGCGGTCACGCGGGCGCGTCTGCACTCTCACCGCGCTCGGGCTCGTGCGGCGGAGCGTGCAGTGGGGCGTGTGGAGGGGCGTGCAGCGTGGCGTGCGGGGAGGCGTGCGGCGCGGCGTGCGGCGAGGCGTGTGGCGGCGCGTGCGGCGTGGCGGGCGCGTCGTGGCGGTAGGGGCGGTAGCGCTGCGCGCGCTGCTGCAGTGAGCGCTGCTCTTCACGCCGCGACTCCTTTTCTCGGGCGACTCGCTCCCTCTGCTCCTTATCCCGCTGCTCCCTCTCCCTGGGAATGAAAACATATATTTTTATTCCAATACCAACCCAACGCACTAACACATTTACTGATATGTTAAATGTTATATTGAGTAAATTAACAATATCTGTATATTTAATACTCGTACACACAGAGTTATTTTGCAATAACCGGTCAAATGTGGTTCAGACTAAGTAATTAAGGCAAATAGTGAAGAAAAATCAATAATAAAAAACACAAAAAATCTGTCCCTTTATCTTTAAAATTCAAAATGCGTGTTAATGTATTATTTTAACTGATTTTACTGCGCACGCACACATTCGTAAGGGTATATCCAGTAGGCAAAAACGTAATTGCCATAGTAAAACAGATTAGTAAGATACTTCCGTGCCGCGCGAGACTTAAATGTCCACTGTTGCAGAGTTGTTACTGTCGTTTTGTTAAACAGCTAAATCTCATTTAGTTTTATAAGTAGTTATAATATTTACAATCATAATAACCTCTAAATGAATCAACGTTCGTCAAAAAAAATCCAGCTTTACATTACAAAAAATGCCAAATAACTAAAATACGAATGAAATAACACTGAGCATATAGTATCAACTCAGATTTAAAGCTTAAAATTAATTTGATCTAATGTGATATGATAATTAATGTACTTATGAGGTATATACATATCTATGTATAGATGTAGTAATATAATCTATTAATAAAAAGCTAATTTACTTAAACAAACGCATATATTAATTTATTTTACAAAAAGAGAAAATAAAACGAATAAAAGACTGCTAGCAAAATTTTATTAAAAGTCAACAAAGTCTCAAACAAGGGTGATTGCGGATCGCGGGGTTGGGCGTTACCGACTCGGCCCGATCTTCCCGACTTAGCAAGTGTCGTTGTGTGCATGCTGTAGCTCGTGCGTACGAGTCCGTACTGTCACGTGCCAGGTACGCACACATATTACTTCCCGACTTAGCAAATGTCGTTGTGTGGGTGCTGTGGCTCGTGCGTATGAGTCCGTACTGTCACGTGCCAGGTACGCACACATATTACTTCCCGACTTAGCAAATGTCGTTGTGTGCGTGCTGTGGCTCGTGCGTACGAGTCCGTACTGTCACGTGCCAGGTACGCACACATATTACTTCCCGACTTAGCAAATGTCGTTGTGTGGGTGCTGTGGCTCGTGCGTATGAGTCCGTACTGTCACGTGCCAGGTACGCACACATATTACTTCCCGACTTAGCAAATGTCGTTGTGTGCGTGCTGTGGCTCGTGCGTACGAGTCCGTACTGTCACGTGCCAGGTACGCACACATATTACTTCCCGACTTAGCAAATGTCGTTGTGTGCGTGCTGTGGCTCGTGCGTATGAGTCCGTACTGTCACGTGCCAGGTACGCACACATATTACTTCCCGACTTAGCAAATGTCGTTGTGTGCGTGCTGTGGCTCGTGCGTACGAGTCCGTACTGTCACGTGCCAGGCACGCACACATACTAGCGGCATTCTCTACATTTCTAAGAAGATAGCATACTATTCTGTTTTTACTATGTTGTTGCCCATAAATCACATTCAGTTTGGGATAATTTCAAATAAAAGTATGATAAGCCTTACTCGCATTTTTGAAAACTGCAATAACGGTAAGGAGAACCTAGATATATCATTATTTATTTATTTGAACTTAAGTTTAAAATTTGACTACTCTCTGAAAAATAGCCCTGTATAAGCAAAACACCACTGACTCACTCACTCATCACGAGATCACCAAAAGGAAACTCTCGATTGTCTTGAATTTTTGACATATTCAATCAACTAAGAAATAATTTTGGAAAAGAATTTAAATCTTGCATTTGTACTAGCGATGTTCGCCTGGATAGAATTTATTAATGCGGCGTTATTTTGATGAAAAATAACAGTCAAAGACAATTTTTATCACAATTTATCAATTTTTCAAAATATACCTCCAAGTTTTTCGGGACCTTCCTACATTTCTTAAAAGAAATAAAAGACAACTCCAGCAAATAAAACAACAAAGATAAGTGATTATTAAAAAATAGTTTATAGTCAATTTTTACATTAATTTCACGTTAAAAATTCCAACCGCCTTAAATAAAATGAAGAACAAAGATCTTGAAATTTACTATACATATTGACAAATATTAAAAGTATTGTGTAACCTAGGACCAATGGTTTTTCAAATGTACATCAAAGGCAAAGAAATAACTTGAGAGTGACATTAATTATAATTTTTTTTACTCATTTTAAAAAAAGTCGACAACCTTGCTCTTAGTTTACCAAGCAAGTTCATTACAACAAAATTACCTTCACTATGTGACAGTAATATTGAAACTATTTTTGAATTGTTAATAGTAGAGATCGGATAGAGCTTGGGTTCTGTAATTCATCATTACAGCACTTGACAAGTCCACTGCTGAACATAGGTCTTCACCAAGCTATGCCACAAAGCACGGTCCTGAGCCACATGCATCGACTTCCTGTATATCTTTACCAGGTCGTCACTCCATCCAGTGGGAGGTTGCCATACACTTCGCCTACTGGTACAAGCCTGCCACTCGAGAATCTTTTTTTCCTATCGGTTGTCGTTCTTCGAGCTATATGGCCGACCCATCGCCACTTCAGCTTAATAATCCGTTGAGCTATGGCGGTCACCCCGGTTCTACTGCGGATATCCTTATTTCTAAGTTTATCATGCAGATAAACCCCGAGCATAGCCCTCTCCATAGCTCACTGAGCGACCTTGAGCGTTTCCTTATACGACCAGCAGTGAAGGACCACGTCTTAGATCCATAAGTCATCACTGGCAACACGCACTGGTACAATCTCGTTTTCTAGTTTTTAGGTATACCTAACGAGAAAATGTATCGTAATTTTACGAACGATTAACCTCTCGGTCGAAGTTGGACTTAACTAGTTGGACTATTTGTCCCAGGTAAACATACTCGTTAATAACTTTGAGCCTAGTGCCCCTAAAAACTACCGGCAAAGGTGTGACATGGACGTTACACATCATGACCTTTGTTTTGTCCATGTTCATCTTAAGACCTATCCGTTGGGAGGCACTATTGAGGTCGTTGATCATAGTGCTAAGGTCCTCTAGCGATTCTGTCGTAAGGACTATATCGTCGGCAAATCGAAGATGAGTGATATACTCACCCTTGGTGTTTATATCGTATCCTTTCCAGTCCATTAGTTTGAATAAGTCTTCAAATGCAACGGTGAAGAGTTTAGGAGATATAACGTCACCCTGTCTTACACCTCTCTACAGTTGGATAGGTTTCGTACACTGGCTCTATACTCGGATAGCCATCGTAGTCCTACTGTACAAACACTTTAGCACTTCGATATACCGATAGTCATCTTGGCACCACTGCGTTGCCTAAATTTCAACGGAATCAAAGACTTTCTCATAATCCGCTTACGCAAGGCAAAGTGGGATATTGTACTCCTCGGTCTTTTGTACAATTTGCGGAAGGGTATGTATGTGGCCTATGGTACTAAAGACTTTTCAGAATCTGGCTTGTTCGGAACGCTGAAAGTCGTCAAGTCTGCGTGCGAGACGATTCGTAATGACTCTGGAAAACAGCACGTAGACGCGGCTGAGAAGGGAAAACGGTCTCTAGTCCTTCAAGAGAGCGTTGTTGTCTTTCTTGAAGAACAAGACCGCCGTACTTTTGCTGGCAACCGCAGTTTTTTATATTGTTATTTTGCTGTTGTTAGAATGATGCTGCCGCCAATGTTCAGCCTCAGTTTCGCTCTGTCGCCTCTTACAACACCCACGGGAAGATATGGGGTAGTGAGTATTCCTGCCCGCCATTGCACGGGATATCCGGGAATTTATAAATTAAAACTAAACCCACGCATACCACTGCAAAACTCCTAGACACAGGAAGTTCAATCTGCGTAGATCGGATCAAAAGTAATTATATAATAATTAAAAAGCTGAAGGTACTCCGGGTTAACTTTGATATTGGGTCAACACCTTATACCCCCCGTGACCATGTGACCTGCAATGCACCCGAAACGTCGGGATTCGGAAATTAAAAATAAGTAGAATTAAACGCGATAAAATTCATTTTATTTAATGTGTATTGTTTGCGTATAAATAAGGAATCAATCAATAGTAGGCTAAAAGGTGAATCAAATCGTTTACCTCTCTCGCTCTCTTTCCCGTTCCCGCTGCAGCGCTAACTCCTTATCCCGTTCTTCATGCGCCGCGTGGGCTGCGTGGGCGGCGTGCGCTGCGTGTGCTGCGTGGGAGGCGTGGGCGGCGTGCGACGCGTGCGCAGCGTGCGCGGCGTGCGCAGCGTGCGCGGGGTGTGGCGCGTGCGGCACCAGCGGCAGTGGTGGGGCCAGCGGTGGGTACAGAGCGTACGGCGGCAGCCAGCCCACGCCCACACCTACCCCGCTGCGGAACATCCGCTCCAAATACATCTGCTCTTCCGCCGCTAGCCTGCAATCAGGATTACGTCTTTATTTATTTAACATTTTTAATGTGGACAATTCAACCCGGATAGACGATGAAACATGTTTAGTGCTCAAATACTCAAACGTTACTCAAGTTTAAGATGTCGTTAAGTCTCATAGTGTCACAGTCAGTTTGACTTCAAGTAATTGTACTAAACTTTGAATTTAGAATATAAAGTAAGTTAAAATGAAGTGGATTAAAACCTTAAAAAATAGTTACAATCCGTGGAATTTACGTAAATATAAGGAATCGTTCTTAAATATGTTAAACTTATTAAGTTATCGTATTGTATAAAGTCCATCGTAATACCATCATTGAACTTAAACCCCCATAGACAAAATACGGTAATGAGCACACACTACAATAATTTAAAACATATTATATCCTTCAAACAAGTTCCCTCGCAAGTTACAAAAAAAAAATTGACGGTTGTCTCTGAAATTTAATTATATACATAATTTAATTGTTTAGTAAATAAAACTGTAGTCAAGTTTCACGTAGCTGTTAGACTGACCTGTATTGCAACGCCGCACTCGAATACAGACCGGGATGAGCGTAAGGGGAATATGCGGTAGGTTCCAGAAGGGGAAATGATGCCGCCGCTGGATGAGTTAGTCTGTAGAACAAGAAACATCCAATTTGAAGCACAACTTAGTATTTTGCAGGAATTAGGTAATATAAAATTTTACAAAGTTCTAAAAGCAAAAAAAAGCTTATTACAAGGTTTTCAATTGTTTGACCTATATGTATAAATGAATATAATGGAATTTGTAATTTAGTTGTATATATTTTAATGAATGTAATTTAGTCCGAAATTTTGCAGACATAAGATCCTATGAAAATACAAAAAATTTTCTGATTGATACCAAGATAATACACACACTAGAATCATCACAGCCCATGATCAATACATGTTATTATCAAAGACTACTAGAACAGAACAAATACTGTGTTAAAGCCGAGGGTCGCACGGTAAATATACCACGCAGTTGTGTTTTCATTTACGAAAGTTGATTGTACTCGTAACTTATTACGCACGGTAGAGCCCGTCGACGAGCACACTGTCCACCTGATGCTAAATGGATGCTATGGCCCATAGACATTTCCGTGTGTCCTTAATTAAGAACCAAAATGCAGATGCATTGTCACCTATGAGGAATTATATGGAATGGCTGGTTTTTTAGTAAAAAGGGTCTCTGGATCTCTACACTTACTATACGAAACACAGCAGTATGGAGTTGCTATTTTAAGTTGGTATTCTGTGGTCCTAAACCAGTCGACAACTTTAACATAGCTACAGCGTGGCTCTACCACGATACACGTATTTCTTAATTTAAAACATTATTGCAAAATTCTTTTTACGAGGTAGAGCAACACTACGGCTGTATTCTATGTACAGCGTAAATGGGTCGAAGTCGACACGCTCTCACGGAATATAAGCGTGAAATAGCAGTATAATGTCAAAAACGCTTTTTAATCGCAAAGACGCATCTCGTAGGCTTCGTGGATCACTCTTAGACTTCACACGTTTGCATCTGTTTCTTTATCAAGGAGAAATACACTACGGGCCTCAACATCTATAGAAAGCATCAGGTGGATTATATGCAACATATAAAAAAGAAAAAATATACAATATATTCATAACTTGGAGAATTAACGCAATCTCTTAAAAATTTTCTGTGAAATATCGTAAATAATAATTATAAAACTTTAAATTGGCAATAGCCACTAACTGGCAGAATTTCTTTTCTGACCAGGAGTCATTCAGAATCGGTACCAAACTATTACAAATTTCTGTCGTGAAATATCTGTGCGGGTACTGTTATATTCCGTTCTGAAGGTTACAGAGAGCCAGTTAAATTACAGATTATGAATGAGTTCTATCTTAGTCCTAGTCTGTGAGCCTTTTTGTTTGTAGCTGGCTGCAGGTGCTGCAGGTGCTGCAGGTGCTGCAGGTGCTGCAGGTGTCTCTGGCAAACTGTACGTTCGTTTGTCACTTAGCTTGTATAAAACAATTGGTAAAATTAAACATTTTATACAACTCACTTCAATATAAATAAAATGAAAACATCATCAATGTAGTCAACGTCGACTAAATACGCATTATTACGGATAACTCAAAACTACTGGATAGATCTCGATCAAATTGATATGGGACCACACGTGAAGCACCAGCTTTCAAATAAAAAAAGAATCATCAAAACCGATTCACCTAGAAAAAAGTTCTGAGGTAACACATAAGAAAATATACAGTCGAATAGAGCACCTCCTTCTTTTTTAAAGACAGTTAAAAAGACAACACCATTTCTTTCTTACACTCAATTATAAACTAGAAACATTTGCTTATCTTTAGAGATTTGAATAAGACAGTAGTTCAAATGCGCGTCTTAGTTTTATGGTTCGGAAGAAAAGCTTCATTATGCAAATGGAGAAATACAATTAGCCTTTTTCTAAGGATAGTTAGCAGCAAAACGTGTATATTCAAAGCACCTTTGTTACCAGTTTACGTCTCTTCGACGATGTCTTATAAATAATGTGTCATGTGAATACAAGTTTGATACTAAAGCAATAATAATAAACAGGTTTCAAATTAGTTTTCTGCTTGAAAACAGCGACAGCTATAGGTATCTATAAAGAAAACAATGGATAATGCAACGTCGAAACAATTTATCGTATTCTCCATGAAATGGATCGAACCAAAAAAGCTAAATTCACATCAATCAAATCAGATTGAAGTTTGTTATCATCATTGTAATTATAGCCCTTCACTATACTACTGTTGAACATAGGCATCCCCCAAGTAATGCCACAAAGCACGCTCCTCAGCCCCACGGATCAAGCGGAAATCTGAAGTGGCAAGGGCCGTCTTTGAACGGGAAGAAAGGCTCTCGAGTGGCAGCCTCGTACCGATAAGGGAAGTGTAGGGCGGCCTCCTACTAGACGGAGTGACGATCTGGTAAGAGATGCAGGAGGTCGATGAATGGATGTTTAAACTTAATCGAGCAGTACTATGATTACATACGGTTGTAGCACGAATGGGTCGGCACAGCGACGAAAGAATACCAGCGTAAAATAGTAGCTTAATGCTACTACTGTGTTTCGTATGGTAGGAGACCATTTTCACTGGAAACGAGGCATTACATCTTAGTCGTCAGGTGTGATCGTATATCTGCATTGCCACAGCATCTACTTACCATCAGGTTTACTGTGTTGTCGCCATTATTCCATAAATATGTGTATGTTTATTATAATGACAACAAAACGTTAATACAATAATGATTTCTTATATTTACGCGAACACTATACATTGATTAAAACTACTTTTACGAATTTTAATACCCGACGTTTCGGGTGCTTTCCAGCACCCATGGTCATGGGGGACTGAGGTGACTGACGTCCCGATGTCAAAGTTAACCCGGAGTACCTTCAGCTTTTTAATTATTGTCTTTGGTACGATCTACGCAGAATGAACTAACTGTATTTTGAAGTCTTGCAGTGGTATGCTTGGGTTTAGTTTTAATTTTATTATAGGACCCCAAGCAGGTGGTAGTACCCAGCCTCCTTCTCTATTGAAATTAGGATGTTTTTTAATTTCAATAGCCTCGCGTATCATCCTTGGTAGGAATCGATGTTCTTTCGCGAGGATTTGTGGTCTATCAAATCTGATGTAATGGTTGGGGCCATCTAGAATATGATCGCAAACTGCAGACTTTTTTTCAACGTTCCGCGAAAAAATCCGTAAAAGTAGTTTTAATCAATTAATACAATAAAGTAAAAAAGTAATTATACGTCACCTGTCATCAGGCCGATAGGGCTGGAACCCACTAGCAGGCAGATGATGTGGTGAGGCGCGTTTCGATGGTGCCGGAGGCTTCTCCTTCGCCTCCCGATCAACCGTCGCCGTCCCTAAACACTCGCGATTCAGACGCCGACACGGCACTGTAGGCCTTGTATCAGCCCTCGACATTGGCGGAACCAAGACCAGACGTTGCTTTTGCAATATCTTTACCTTTATTAACATTGTTACTCAGTACTTTTAAATCTGGTCTCGTTTTAGACAGCTACAATGCTTCATTAGCTCCGCCAATGTCGATCGGTACAAACATTCAGCTCTCCCCTTCAACAATTACAATGAATTTAAACAGTTTTTAGATAATCCAGGAACATTAAATAATTCAAACAATGTCATAGTTTAGTTATATAATAAATATATTCCAGATACACCTTTTCTTTATTTATATGAAACTGAATTTGAGAAATATGAAAATAAGAACACCGTTTAGAATATTTTAATTAAACGAAGAGATTCAAGAGCTGAGTGTAAGCAACCGTGATTTTTTTTAAGAATTTCATATTAACATCAAAATCATATTTTTGGGATAGTGGTACAGTGGTACAGTGGTACAGTATAAGATGTCAGTTTGAAGACAATAGTAAGAGACCACTAATAACCAAACAACTTAGGCTGATAAAATGTTTGATTTCTTGCATAGATGTAGGTACATAAAACACATATTAGTACTTTCGGATTAGTGTAAACACTCTTTGCTACTGATACCTTTACGTTGACATAGTGAAACTTAAAATGAATAAAATCGTTAAAAAAAGTACATTTCGGTAAATATTAACTGACAAGAGTGAACATATTTTAAATTAAATAAATACTGAATTTTTTCACTCTGGGCAATTATCACAATACCATTTAAATTTTAAAATATTTGTATAAAAACGTTTCTTCTTTTAGATTATAATAAACTTCTCATTATATCTGTTTGAAAAAACATATACTAAGTAAAATTCGTTCGATATAAGGAAATGGACGTGAGAACCCAACAAGTGTTCTGTTGGAAGCATTCTATAACTACTCAAATTAATAAAAAAATCTTGGCTCGAGTAACAGTGAACTAATATTTTATAAGAAAAAATTAAAATTATACTCGAATTCTATTTGAACGATCTCATTGTGCGTCTCAAAGAATAAAATAAAAAATAGCAAGTCTTGAATTTAGGAACGCGGAGGGTGGAGAGACACTGCAGGCTCCTTCATACTTGAATTTATTTGAAAACTTGACATTTCGAAAATATAACCTTAATTCCTAAAAGTTCGTACACATAAATATTTTTAAGGTTTATTTAATAAAGGCGATGAAATAAGTTTTTTCCAACCCCACTAGAAACTCTTTTAGGTTAGTATGCCAGATGCATTTTTAAAATGGCTTACATTTAGTAGAACACTAAAAATAAACATATTTCAGGGGACAGGGCACGATGCCTTGTGGCAACCATTCTCTTTATTTACATTCAATAGTACTTTTAGAAGAAAATTACCAATGAATAAAATAGGTTAGTTAAAGACTTTAACATTATTTTACCGTAGGAGTGTGTCGTATGGAGTTACAGGAATATTAGATGAAAACTTTTTATTTTCACAATGAAACCGGAATTTCGTTATGGTAAGAACAAGACTACTTTAATGTGACCTACACCATTTACATAATAAGATTAAACCGATCTGATATAAGATAGTTGTACGTTACTCGTCCAAGTCTGTGAAGGGGGGTGTGCAGCGTATTATCACTCACCGTCCTTGGCGTCGGGGCCAGCGTTCTTGGCGAGCGTTCGCAACGCCGCCGCGAACGGACCACCCTTGTTTGGGGCGAGATCCGTTCGCTTCGCGATCTTGTTCGCGCTCACACCTGCAAAGAGCAAACGATGATGTTAATAAGATGACACTGTTCACGAGCCATCCAATTGTTTCTTTTTTCTGTAAATGTAACATTTTTTTCATTAATGTCTATTTTTTTTAAAACGCAACCGTATCCTAATAGTTTAGAGTACGAACTACGAGACTAAAAGGTCGTGAGGTTTAAACGCATTTCGACCGTTACCGTTACAGCTTATTAAAGTCCACTGCTGAACATAGGCTTCCCACATAGATTTCCAAAGGGTATATTTGCCATAGTCACCACAGGTTGGCAGTTTATTTTTCTCTGTCGCCTCTTACGACAGCCACGGGATGTGATATGGGGTAGTTGATATTCTTACACCGCCACTACACTGTAAGGACTTATATAGCTTGTAACTTTGTATTTTAACTGTATTTCTTACAAAACATCACTCCGAACTATGGAAAATGCTTGCTAAAACAGTAGGGACACTGTACATACTCACGATCCGTGTTTTATCGGACAATGCTGCCATATCAATATTTAATTAATTGTCAACGCAATATCTAAGGGGTGGTACTGTACAATGCACGCGTCAATTACATGTGCTCACCCTCTGTTTAACATTTCCATTTTAAAATTTCCGTTTCGTAATTGTATGCATTGAATGAAATATAGTGTTATTTAAATAAAAAATAACATTAAACTACAGTGCACGCTAGTGCTCGAGATAATTTTTTACGCGGTAGAGCCACGCTGCAGCTATATCTTATATTGTTATGTTTTTTAAGTAAACTTCTTTACGAACGCTTGACTTGGGAAGTAAGCTGGCGAACGCGTAATGAAAGCGTTACGTAAAGTGTGATCTGGCGAGGCGAACGGGTTGAGTGGGGGATTTAAGCAAGCGCGCGCATATTTTTTTTCTCTGTTTCTCTCATAGCCAGTTATTTTTCCTAATTTTATGAATCAATATTTTGTTCAATACCTACATTAAATATTCTACGTAAATTCATTTTAAAGTTCATGTTTTGTGAAATTTCGGGTGGATAATAAATATGGAAAGGAGCCGATAATAAATTTAAATATTTGTAGAAAATTAATACATGTATACCAACAGCGATTTTTCCAGACGGATACGACCTAGGGACCAAAGAGCCTACTCTTTGTTAAAAGGCAGGCAACGCACCTGCAATTCCTCTAGTGTTGCAGTTGTTCAAAGCGGTAGTCATTTACCATAAGAAAGCCGCATGCTCGTTTGCCCCTTTTACATTAAAAAAATGGTTGTAGAATAAAAGAGGTGGGTCGATTGAGAAAGGATCACGTCCATATAGTACGAGTAATAAAATTACATCATAGCCTATGGAACTGATATTTTTCAAAAAAATAAAAACAAAAATTTTGAATTAAATAAATAAATAAATTAAAATCTATCGAAATTCATGAAAAAATATGCCTACTAAATAAAACAATACATTTAGTAGGCATATTTTTGACCTTGTCACTTCGCAGGGTCACAGGCTCAAGGACAAAGGGCAAAGTAATTTTTCAAAAAAAAAATTCAAACGTTTAATTCATAATTTTGGTTATCAGTTTTTGTAAAATATCAGTGCCGTAAGGCTTCTATTCCGTTCACATGTTACACCCCATTTTTTCAGATGGGAAAAAAGGTCATCCAGTATATATATATTTAAACAGCTTATTATAAGAATCGTGCTGCGAGGTACCAAAAGGGAATGCTAAATTATGCACAAGCGGTATAATTAAAAATTTTGTACAACCGACTTCAATATAAATAAAACGAGAATATCGTCAACGTAGTCGAAGTTTATTAAATACGCACTATTGAGAATAACTCAAAAACTACTGGTCAGATCTTGATCAAATTTATATGGGGTCACATTATCATATGACCCACCAGCTTTCAGATAAAAATATAAAAATACAGTTGATTTGAGAATCTCCTCATTTTTTCGGTTGTAAATTATCTTTAACGAATGAGAAATATTCCATTCTATTATCCCAGTGCTTCTGATTTTGACGTTGCTGAACTATTTTCGATCATGTCGCGGCTGTCTACCGGGTATAAACATATGTTGACTAACATCTGTTGTACCTCACACGATTATAATGGAAACGTTAACATATGACAATTTATAAGCATGTATAATAAAATAAATTTAATATTAATAATATATTAAATTATTAAAGTAAATTATGTTTGGCGGCCTCGTTGGTCTATAGTGGTCACAAATGCGACTGCTGATTACGGTTACGGTTCCGGGTTCAAACCGGGTCGGGCCAAAATCAGTAATTGGGTTTTTCAGTCCAGAAATTCGCAATAGCAGCTCGGAGTCAGGTGGCTACGTTTCACTTCCGTGCGTCGGAAAGCTCGTAAAGCTGTTGGTCCTCCGCATGATCTCTCGCCAGTCGTGTCGGAGTACCGTCCCATCGGACTATGAGAGTGAGGAAATAGAGGGTGCACCTTCCAATTTCCGTTGAGACTGGCCGCCGTGACCGAAATTAATTTTGGAATAAATTTTTATTAATTATTAATATAAATAACGACGCTTATTTAAAGTAACTGAAAGTTTTTTTTTATATACTCTACGTAGACGTATAGGTAAAAAGTAAACAGCAGGGTGGGACCTTATATGTCTTCGAAATAATTTACTCCTCAGACATGCAACCACATCTGGCAGGTAGAATGACGACGTAGGATCAGGGTAAAGCTACTTCTCTCTACAACGGGAAAGGCTCGCGTCTAGCAGCGGACTTTAGGAGCTAATAAAGGAGAAGATTCCACAAAACAATAAATGGGAGGGGTGAATGAATAGGCGATATGTTTACGCTGACTTATGGCCAAATACTCTCATGGACGAGACTTAAGGTGTTTAAGGATTTTTTTAAGTTTTATAGATTACGACTAAATATCACATATATATATATATTGAAAAGGAACTCAGGTTGGACGTCCTTCTTGATCCTGAAAAGGACCAATTGAAAAGGACCTAGCGGATCGGGTACTAAGAAACAGGAATCGAGGCTTCTCTCGATCCGGCCTCCTATCACGCCTACGTTGGGTTCGGGAACAACGTATGTGATCTCCGCAACGGAGTAACACACTAGGGCGATAACCTCTTCCTTTTCAGCAAGTAGGTTCAGACGGGGATTACGGGTCTTCCGAAGTCGTCCCGGTCCCGACGCCTTAATTCTTCGATGTGGACTGTATAACTTAAAGGATCTTGGGAATGAAACAGCAATTATCTTCAAACCGTTCCGTGAGAGAGTAATCACTTTTCCCTATACTTTTTCTTTCTTGACTGCTGGTTTTGCACTTTTCCCGAAGGATTTTCGTACTTTCCCGAAGGATTCCCGAACGATTCCCGAACGAATTGCAATAAAACCCGTTCACTAAGCTACCCCAGAGCTATACGCGAAAGTGAGCCGCGCCATTCGCGCGCTTGCGCAACTCAATTACATGAATTTGTTCTATTACTCTCTCACGTTTTACTCAATATCTTTATTTATTCAAATCATATACAAATACAATTTATCAATATAGGTAGTACAAAACAATATCTACACCATGATATACATCATATCTTCATATCATAAAAAACCTTTTATTTATTAAACGAAAACTGCCTATTTTACTCACAAGTTCGAAATCGAAATTTCTTAAATATTTAACACAGAAAGTTAAAACAATGTTTCTCACTTGAATTTATACATAAGCTAACCAATACAATAGTTTAATTTACATTTTTTCTATTTATTTCACTATTTAAAACACTTTTAAATTTCTTATACAAAACTATCATTATTTCACTTATACACAGGAATTTTCACATGAAAATAACACAGAATTTACCTTTTTAGCACGTACAATTAACCTGAAATATTTTACAAGTAATTTTTACATAAATCACTGAATTACAAACATTTTAAATTTTTACATATTCGGCCTCCTAAGGGCGTGGCCAGCGTGCTTCTGTGTACTCACGCTATGTGAACAACTAACTTTGCACGGCTCTCGGCTATCAGAAAAAATTAAATTATGAAATACACCAATTTTGACCACATTAGGCAAATTAAATGCTTTTATACAATTTTCGAACTGTATGAAACTATCTTTAATCAGATAATAATATAAATGAATGTTCTCATTAATCAATCATAACAAATAGGCATTTGTTTTCGTACAAAACGTATCAAACTTATACAAAACAACATTTATGCAATTAATATCCATTGATTCTGCCTATGCACAGAGTGATTATCTCGACCGGGGAACAAATCCGATCTTTAACTTCACTTTAATATTCTTATGAATTTACATCATTTGAAAGATGATTTCAACCGGGGAACAAATCCGGTAACATAATTTATATCTTAAATTCCTTACGAATTTATTAAGCGATATTACTTAGGAAAACAAACAAACTAGTCCGGCCTGGGAGTCGAACCCAAGACCTTCATATCATTAATTCGACATTTCTTAAAGATTTAACTAAGCATTCTCTTATCAGAGCGTCGTTGCTCGTGACTGCCCCTTTTTTCATAGCAACGTCATCGGTTGATTTAATAAACTGAAACATTTTATAGGCGCGTCGCCAACAATCTCCCCCCCGTGCGTTAGCACCATCATTTGGGAGGCGTCGCGGGTACCAGGACTATTATTCTGGATGTAGGTCTCCTCAAGATACCTGTGCTAGTAATGACGTCAACCACTCTGGTGTGACCGTCTGGTCCCGGTAACGTTCTACTAATTTTACCTTTTGGCCACGTATTTCGTGGCAACGAATGATCTATTATCAAAACAATATCGCCTTCTTTAGGTTCCATGAACTTGCCGTTATCACCTGTTCGAGGTATTAACGTAGGCATGTATTCTTTCAGCCATCTTGTCCAAAAATGGTCGGCTAACCTCTGTGCAGCTTTCCAATTGAGTTGACCCGTCAGATGTCGCTCTAAAAATAATCCAGGTGGTCGATCACCACATGAGCGTCCCAGAAGAAAATGATTGGGTG